GAAGGCACTTGTTATATAAATCGACATAGTCAGTCGTATACTACACCACTTGGACTATCTGGCACTAACTTGTGTTTTGGAGCATATTCATAGAAGGATTAACTGGAGAGGTCGGAAGGACCCAGAAATGACGAAAAACGAACATCGCAAAATATAATCTTGTAGTATCTCAAATGAAACCTCAAGACTCGGAGAGTCCAAATATACATGTGTTGATGTCATTCGCTGCAAAATAAGATCTATAGATATTTTAGAAATGTAGTCAGCAATAGAAAGGAGACAGTATTCCTTGTGTGCTTGTTGATACACTTTAGCTATTATAGGAAAATGTTAACCTTCCAGTGGAAATTCTCACATAGTTGCATTAGACATTATTTTGCAGCGAAGAGGTTACTGTGTACACAGATCTATTGAAGAAAATATGTTCATTAACACTGAAGTCAAAAAGATCGAATGTTCCAAAAAGACCGGTTTTAGTACTTCTAAAATAACCTTGGATAAAATCTTCGAAGCGTACTTTATGGTAGACGGTTATACCGAATCTGAATTAGTAGTATAGATTTATATAACAAGTGCCTTCGGACATAAAAAGTGAATTTTTAAAATGCTCCATTTTCACTTTCTCTGAACTTTGAGACGACCTGCACTCCTAGTGAACTACCTTTTTCAGATTAAGCTATAAATTTGAGTAGAGTCACACGTGTTCTGTGCAGTGAAACTCGTGTTTAGTCAAATATTTTTACTTTTCACAGAAGAATTTAGCCCAAAAGTACGACCATTATTAATATTTTCCAATTTTGCAGATACGATTTCGCCCATGTGCGAAGGTCGAATCCACATATGTTTTTGGATGCAGGTAGTATGCGACCTATACTACATATGCTGCAAGTACGAACTCTAGCTCTGCTGCGTAGACTGAAATATGACGCCTGTAAAATGCACTTTTCGACACATGCTGTTTTTAGCGGTAAAATGTTGTAAGTCCAAAAGGAAGCATTATCTAGTCAAAACGTTGTGGGAACCTTCCTAAATGTGTTGACGCTATCACACATAGGGATTTGAACCAAAAGTTCGACCATCGATTGAGCAACACATAAGGAAATCGGTCGTTCTTTCCGTGCAATAGCTCTTATGCGTATATTTATTTGGAAAATACAGAGGAAGATAGAGATTTGAGAATATTTCGTTGTTGATTCGAGACTACTCGAATCATGTGACTCGGATATTACTAAGACTAGAAAAAGCGGTGACTCACCTACCTCTGACTTCATGTTGTTTAAATTTACTTGCGATCTTCTTTTTTTTTCTTTGTGATTATTATTAAACTTTTATGGTTTTTATAATGCATCATATAAACAAATTTACAATTGGACAAAATAGAAACATGTCATCATTGAGAATTTATTATTTGTTTATTTAGTGATATCGTATGAGAATTTTATGAATAAAAGGTCAAGTTATACTGATAATTTTATAATTCCACCAATAGACAGGCTTCCTGACTCTTTAAATTTTTTTAGTCGTTATTACTGCAATCTATTATTTGACTTTACTATTTTATATCTGATATTTTTATTGAAATATTCCATATATTTGACATGTCATTCAAATTTTTGTAGGAACATTTATTCGAGCAATCGTGATTCATAGAACATGTGAAAACTTTTTCTCTTTTTGGTATGAAAAAATTATCAAAAAATAAATATTTAACTAAAAGAAAGCAACAAAAATATTTTGCAAACTTCTAAGTTTCTCTCTATAAAGGAAATGATCATTTTTGTTTCATAGGAATGTTGTCGGTAACTGATCAATTTCAAAATATTCATGTTGAATATCATCTTCCGTAACACGCACTAGACGGATGCCCGGTTTATCTTCTCCTAATTGTAATCCAATTGCACTGGTAACAACTTCTTCCATTGATTTATAATAGCCACAAAAATTTCGATGATAATGACCAGTAAAGATTTTTCTCACTCCTACAATAGATGAGACATGCTTCGGAATGAGAATCAGATGAAAGGCTGTTCTTACCAGCATTGTGAAATTTTTCTAGCATTTCTAAGCGTATATGTGGCTCAATATTAAAATATTCTTTTGGCTCATTAACATCAGCTAAAAACCACGGAATATGTTGAAATATTATCGTGTGTTTAGCAACATGCGCATCATCCTTCAACACAGTATCAAGCCATTTTTCATGGGCTTCCTTTAAATCTTTGACATTCTCACAATGAGCGTAAAATTGACTATTTAGTACAATACAATGAACACCACCGCACCAAAAATCAAAATAATCTGAACCAAAATGATCAATATATCGTTGAATAGATTCACGCGTCGGTTCATCTCCAACATCATGATTTCCACAAACACACACAAGTGGTATAGATGAATCTACAAATAATTGAACAATTACTTTTCGTAGAAATGCCTATGTTACCATCTTTCTTTTTGTTAATCCTCTCGACACGAACCTACATCGTTTTCTTAGGGGACAATTTAATGGTATAAGTGTGAGTGCATAGTTTAGAATGATAGAAAACCAGTAGTCGCTAAACGGTATTTACCTAATTCACTGAACACTTTCTTGATATCAGTTTCTTGTCTTGAACGAAAAGGATCTTCATCTAATATAAAAAAGATGTAAAAATAACCAGATACTGGAATAAAAATTGTGTTGTAATATCATTACGTGGGAAAGCATCGACTAGATCACCACATACAATAAAAAATCTTGGTTTTGGGTCCATTTTGTTTAACTTTTTTATAACATTTCTCGTTGCTCTAATTTCAACATCCCATCTAAATAACAGATAAAGCAGGAATGAACATAGTTTAAAAGACATTAAACAACAACTTGAACTAGCAACGGAAAATTTTGAGCGTGAAAAGAGAAAAAGAAATATAATCGTAAAGAATCTTTATCCGGTTGATAATGTTAGTGATCGTGATCTATTCGGAAAATTCATACAAGACCAACTCGGTATTACCATTCATCCATCTAATATTGATTCTGTTTGGCGTTCTAAGACAGGATCCGTCGTCAATAACAATCGTGCACCAATACTTGGTGTTGGTTTAAACGACTTTTCGTTACGTTCCTCTATTTTGTTCAATGCATCTAAGCTCATGAACTCATCGGATAATAATGTGAAAATCCGTCTATATAGGTAAGCATTTAACATTAATCCAATCTCAGATTGCTTACGAACGTCGTCTACAACAACGTAATCGTTCGCAAACACAAGACCAACATCAAGAGACATTGTTACCTGCTTCCAAAACACCCCCTACTCCATCGACTATACCGAAAGCAGTTTCTTATCGATCGTACTCTAACCCACCCATCACTCGTCGATCAATTCGCTTATCGGGTAATAAACAAACAATTATCAATATTAATCATCAACAGTCAAATGGCAATCAACAATCAACAGTCGAGTGGAAATCAACAATCGAGTGGCGTCCCGATCGAGTGATATCACGTGACTCAAGCCAATATTAATTCATCATTATCTCATAACCTTCGCATTTATTCTCACAACGTACAAAGTCTGATTAAATACTTTAGTCTCATTCGTGACGAAACTACTACTTCTTCCAGAGACTTTGACATTATCTCGTTTCAAGAGACCAACCTGAATACTAACATTAGCGATCATGAATTATTTCTTAGTGGTTACTCAATAGTACGGAGTTATGTTCCACTGGTGCCAGTTCACTTGGGCCGCTTTTATTTCTTAGTTTTATTAATGACTTGCCTCTTTCTCTTCCATATAATTGTGAAATCTGTCTTTTTGCGGATGATGTCTTTTTAATTGTACCTCTTTGTCCCTCGAATCCTTTTAATTTTTCTCATGTTCAAACCTGTATAAATTCTGTTTCAAATTGGTCTACTTCTAATCTCATGTCTCTCAATGTGTCTAAATGTTCTTGGCTTCCTTTTAGTTTCGATCCTTTCCCGTTTGTTTACAATCAGCTGTATCTTAATAAAGTCCCTCTTTCCGTTGTGTTTTCTGTTCGTTGTCTCGGAGTTCTTGTTTCGCACGATCTTAGGTGGAGTGAACATGCCAGAGACATTGCTCTTGCTTGTCGACGCAAGCTAGGCGCACTGAACCGTGTCTTTGGACTCGCTCCGTCAGAGGTTCGGCGTCGAATCTATCTTTCTTCTATTCTTTCTAAACTTGATTACTGTTGTGCCTTATACGATAGTTCCTTTTCGCTTTCAGTACTCGATTCTGTAAATAATCTTGCTTCTCGTGTCATTTCTCGTAACTTTGACTATCGCTTTTCTAGCTCTTTACTTGTGTCACAATTTTCTCTTCCAAACCTCTCTCTTCGCCGTAAATATTTTCGACTAGTGCAGTTTTTCAAAATTTATCATCGTCTCAGTCCTCTTTCTGTCTTTTACTCTATTCATCGTCCTCATTACTCTTCCTTACGCTGTCATCATTCTAAATATGTTCGCATTCCAACCTCTGTTAATGGTTTTTCTTCTCAAACAGTTTTCTCTTCTTTTTACTATTCAAGTATTACTGACTGGAATAAACTTCCTGAGTCAGTTATTTGTTTTTCTTCCTTAGCGTCTTTCAAAAAGGCACTAGTTCAATATCTCTTACTGAAAAATATCAGCCGTGTTCCTAGTCATAATTAACTGGTATTGGTTGTTTCTCTAGAGTTATTTTATTTGTGTCTATCTTTTATTGTTACTTTTATATACTCGTTGCATATTCTAGTCTTTGTTCTTTTTTCTACTATTTCTGGTTCTAACCTTAGTTGTCTTATTTATTTTGTTCTTTTTTATTCTCTTTTTGTGTTGTTTGTGTTGAGTCATGTATTACAGGTCATTGACCTTTGATGGCTCTCTCACTTTTCGTGAATAAAACAGTCTCTCATATGTCATTCATGTTTTCGAAATAACAAAAGTGTTCAAAAGAAAAATCATACTGTAAGAATAACAAATGCTGTGAAATAGAAACAGCAGAACGTAGAAGCGCACTTTGTTTTCTTTACTTGATATCAACATCAGATGTGTAAGACACGCCTTTAGGATAACGATCGGTGAGACCGGGCTGACAATCAGCTCCTTGAGCAAAACAAAATGGTCCTTGCCACCTGTATTCTTTTTCTAAAAAAAATTAATAAAAATCTCAAATCTATTACACATAAATTGTAAACAAACCTGAATCAAACGGAAGAAATTTGCGATCTGAACCTGTTTGAATTTTGAACTCTGCCATAATAGTCTCTTTCTCAATTTGAGCAACACGTCATAGGTTAATGGAACAAATATCTAAAACAGATATGTAGAGACAGCTAATATTTTTATAACACTTTTAAGCAGCATAACTTTATCAGATTTTAAGTAGCGGCTTTTCAAATTTTTGACAAATAAAAAATGTTTGACAAACAAAAGATAACTGCCAAACTGCCACGCAAGCAAAAACACACTATTTTGTGAAACTCCTTCAGTATCTCCAAAAGAGAAGAAGTTAAAGTTTTATACTGAAAATACCTTGATTTTGACTTATTTCTTAACCTCCCCTGCTTTGTCGGGTGTCATTTGGGGGAATCCGAAGTCTTGTAGTTGTGACTGGTAGAAGTCTGATTGGTCAGAGATACCATTGAGATCTTGAATATGTTTTGAATAGGGAGGACTTAATTAGCATAAAGCAAAGAAAAAATATCACATTCATCTTTTTCTAAGCGACACTGAGCAAAACTTTTTCCGGACGATGATGTCACTATTTTGCGGCTCCTCCCCTCCTCCATGACATGGGGGAGGATCAATTTAAAAAATCTTGATGACGTAATATTTGAACTACCCCTTATCATTCAGTTCGGTTTAAAATACAAGGTAACGCTCGTCTCCACTCGCTCGGTCCCTTGAATTTATTAACTTGGATCTGCGCAAGCGAACGCCCTTTGGTGACTTTTAAATCGAACACAATGCTCACGCCTCCCTTCGGTCGGCGCTCGCTGGGGCCTGACTAAGACATCTGGATTTTTTTTCTTTTTTTATGTATAAGGTTCGTAATCTGATATAAATATATAAAGCAAAAATCTCTAGAGGTCTACACATATTTCTGAATTCATTGTTTTGAATTCAGAAAAATTTAAATAATTTAAAGTTTAAAAAATCGTTTTTGTCTTCTCTTTAAGTATATCATGTTATTTTTGATATATTCTGTTCTCTCTTAGCATCTCCTGTTTTTGTTGTTATTATGATGCTGGTCATCTCAATGCTTTTTTTCTCGCAACTAAATTGTATGTTGCGATTTATTTTTGTATAGAATGCGAGAATATTAGTTGATGCTTGTACTACGCGTATATATATGTGCTCTCTTTATTATTTTCTGTTGTTTTTATCGTCTATATATGACTTGTACTTGCGTTGGTAAAAGCAGTATCTATTAGTTTATAATAAAAATATTTCGTAACTAATTTGACTTTACCTTAGCCTTAGCAAAGGTGTATCTAATGGCCAAGCGCAAATCCAAACACCAAAATCGCGCGTGAGAAAACCACAGCATGAGCAGCGAATTGAGTTTTAGCACCTAAGAGTTTGAAAGAATGCTCTTTCCATCGAATACGTGCACAGAATCCAAACTTAGCGCCACTATGGTTTCCATAAAACTGTGATTCTTCCACCACTCAATAACAATAACAAATTGTTTTTGTAAAAGGAAGAAAAAGAAGCTTTTTTTTAGCTCGTTGATTCTGTGTTTGGATGGTTGGATGATTTATATGAATTGACAAGTCGTCTATGATCCGATCTCGAAGATGCCAAAGAAATAATAGATGATGATGTTAATATTTCACTCTGTGAACCATTTCAAAATTTTATTGCAGTAAAATATCAAATAAAACATATCAATCATTTGTGTACACTATATTTTCAATGTTTAAGGTAACGAATTTGAATGCTATCCGAAATATACTCAAACGGTATTATCAACAAATCATCAAGAGTATCCAATAAGCGGCTTATCTGATATATATATGGTATATTAAGTGTTTTAAGAAGAAATAATGGGAAAAAACAAAATTATATGAAAATGTAAGAGCATATTATGGTTGCAAGGTAAATTAATCTTAATGTTCTACACGATGGCTAAGTAATATTCTAAATTAGAATAGTCCATGCAATCATAGGAGAGATTTTTGTTCAATCTTTTTGATTTTATCAGTAGATTAGAATGAAAAGAGGATATAAACTATCAAAGGAGATAAATGACTTCTTTTAGTTCGAATATTAAACTTGTTTCTTTGTCACTTTTAGGCAATTAAGTATACATTCATTACAATACAATGCCGACAAAATTGGAAGAATAGAATAGAAGTGTGTAGTGGTAGTTGTTCATATTGTAGTTCAAACGGATTTTATAATTTTGTTCATATTTTATTAATCAAATTCTTGACACTGATGGTTTATATAAGTCTA